TTTGTAATTTAGATGGAAGAAGCCTCGAAAAAAATATATAGCTGAAATACGAAAAAAATTGAAAGTTTGTTTTGTCCATTTTGATTTTTTCAAATACTCCCATTTCGAAATTTGAAAAATCCCCAGGTCAACCACTATCGGCATCTTTTAAGAGTAACTAGCAATTGTTTTGACCGTCGCAGACCCATCCGTTGCGCTACAATCGTGCACACCGAGAAGGACTTCATCGTCTAGTTAAATGCGAAGATCGGCATGGTCCTGGAGAGTGCGCGCACTGGCGCCAACGGCAAAATTAGCGTCCATCCATGCTCTTAATGCACCTTTAATCCTAAATCGATGCGGCGTGTTCTTTTTATGTACTGACGATTCTTGCAAACCCTTACATTTCACAGGTCTGCCCCCTTAACCGACAGTGCGATCACTTGGTCCTGCAGGGACCGTTTAATGAGGGATGGGTTTGACACCAATGACATTTCAAAATTAATCATACTGATGTTAGCCGGAAAAGTATAACGCTGAAGTGTACTTTACCCTCGTGACAGATGCTATGGTACTGCCAATGCGGTCACCCTTGATCAGATATTGATTGTCGACGTACAACGACTCCATGTCAGCGTCTTCGTGCGTGAGCAGCTTGGTCAATGTTGATTTACCCGCGCCAGTGTTTCCAAACACGAGCACAACGTCCTCTGGAACAACCAGCCGCTCATCAGGCGGCTGGCAGCTGTAGAGGTCCGCACACTAGAAAAATCCGAAAAGACCACATTATTAAATGTGATCTGAAAACGCTTCACGCATACCGGGAGTAGAGTTAGAATTCTTTTGGCAGAGATATTGTTCTTACATACTGAGAGAGAAATTACGTTACAACACGTGTCTCCATTGTGAGAGTAGTGCTATATGGAGAGGCAACGAAAAGCCCCTGCTGCTGTACATGGCTGAACATTTTACCAGATTTCTATGCAACGCGGCTACTTATAATGGCGCGGAGGGTCTCCTCCACTCGAGAGATGTCTTTTCTATGACCCTTCAAAATTGGAAATTCCTCCGACCAGCCATAGTTTGTAACACGCTTAGGAACTGCGCTGCAGTACTGATTCGGCCACCTGCTGCCGCGGTCGGGGTGGCGAAGCGTCGCCGCGGAAAGTCCAAAATCCCGTTTGTGATCAAGCGACAGCGTGTAAAGGCCCAGAGGACGATTCGTCTCATCATATACGGAGGGCCTTCATTCCACGATGTGCACTTTTTTCACATTTCCACCGTTTTTATGGTGATTTTAAAATTTCGCAGCTACGCTCCGCCACCCTGACCGCGGTAGCAGGTGGACGAATCAGCGCTGTAGCGCCGTTTCACGGTGTTTTCTGAACTTCGACTGGTCGGAGGAAGTTCTAATTTTGAAGGGTCCTAGAAAAGACACCACTTGAAGGAACGATACCCTCCGCGTCATGATAAGTGGTCGCATCGCCCAGAAAACTGGCAAAATGTTCTGCCACGTACACCAGCAGGGACGTTTCTTTCCATGAAGCAGTACTCTCATGTCTCCATGTAGGCTATGAATGAATGAATTCACTTTGGGGCCACGGTAGTGGTCTACAGCTGATGTCGAGGGGTGAATAGCTACGCAAAAGTGTACACACTAAAAGCTTAGGAAAATTTTCATTCATGGTTACTAAGTTATTCATACTGGCGAACGAGGGGGCAATAACTTCGAATTCAAGTGATTCCCGGAATCCATGATTCCCATTGTTTCCCGTCGTGATTCTCGTTCATTTCCGTGGTTTTCGGTCGTTTTTGTTAATTTAAATAACGGCGGGATACTGTTTAAATGGCTGAGCCTTAAAGCAATTAGAAATAAAGAATCTGAATAAAAATAAGAGGCGAAGCCTTAACAATCGAGTCGAGTAGCCCCCATGAGTTTGGGAGATCACGGCCCAACTTATGGGGATCCAACCTTCCCAATGGTAAAGTTTATAGGGTTAATGTGAGTCAAAGATATGTTTTTCTGATGAGTACAAAAAATTGCTGCGAAACTAATTCTGGAGCAATTATTACCGTTGGAAAGATAACTGACGTCAAGGTTAAAATGAGCGCTAGCTTCTAAAACGCCTTATGTTGCAGTCTGTGCGTTGGCAAGCCTGCGCATGAGAACGGCATGATTGAACTGAGGTATCTTTCGTACGCGCGAGGAGCGGCGTCGAGGAAATGGGCAAAATGGGTACAAAAAAAAGCTAAGGAGGAGAGAAGTTGAAAATAACTTATCCATGATAAGTAATTGCCAACATAACAAAATCACAAAACAACGCAAACGCACATCGCTTCCGCGACCAGGGATCAGCCTCTTTGTCTATAACAATGCCTAGTTAAGTTTGTGCCCTCTCCCGGTCTACTAGGAAGGTGTGCCGGGTGTCCAGGCTTAGCCATGCCAGAACGTTGGGTTGCCTTTGCACTAGCTACAGGGGCTGGAGGCGCGGCGGGCGCTGGGGGAGCTCCGCCATCCGCCCCGCGCCTGCAGCCACTGCAGCCAGTAAATAGGCAATTTAACTTGGCCGGGACACCCAGCCCGCCGCACCACGTCTCGCGTAACAGGCTTCGCAATATCTCGCGAGACGCGTCTGGCATACATCTACCTAGGCCTGCGGCGCTGACACTTAACCCCTGAATCGGCCCAAAGGCAGAGTTATTTAGAACCCATCGGCCCCAGAAGTCATATGTCACAAATTTTGGTCCACAGTGTGTTTCATTTTGACGATGTACCCCAAAGGAGACTATCAAATACCTGAGAAAGAACATTAATCGGTTTTGGGGTCATTTTCGTGTGGGATACTCCGTCTGGCGGCCAAACGGTTCGAGATATAGCCAGACGGATGAAATTTGGTCCTTCGAAATTTACTTTTCCGAGTTACTTCTAAAAGATACAGAGAATATATATTACTAAAAGATATGTTTTGGGCTGCTTGCCTTAGAATTTTTGACAGGTCAATTTTTGAGCTAGAATGCTGACGTGATCTGTATTTTAATGACTCAAAACAACCCTGAGGGTTTCAGGTCGCTAGTTCAATCCGAGGGGGAATTCACTAGCGAAATAGTTCGTACACCTTCCCCGTAAATAGTCCAAAATAAAGGCGGAATAGACGCGAAATAGTCGGTGAAATAGTCGCGAAAGACCCCGGAAATACTCTGAAATACCCTGAAATACCGCGAAATACCCTGAAATAACCCGAAATAGGCAAGAATAAACCGAAATGGCAGGAGAGATAGCCGAAATGGCAGGATAAATACCACGAAATAGCCCGTACGCTACGAACCAAAGTGATTTTCCCCTTGCGGTTCAATCCGTACTCGAGTTACCGTGAATACAGACACAAAAGGCCGCTCGCACTCTACTTTGATTTCTACTGAGAAACGCGCCCCTTCACATTTTATTAAGCAAAAGCGCGCGACCAGCAAGGCTTTGGTGGTGAGATGCGCCGCTCGCCGCTCGCGGCTCGCAGCGAGACACGAGTTTGCGACCCCTGGTCTAAACGATACGAATTTCCCTCATGAAAACCTACTCTCATGAATAATCTTTTAATAACGTTAAAAAAGTTTTAAAACAAAAAGCAGTTGTGGCGACCCGTTGTTTTTGAATTTCTTGTAAAGATCATTTTTAGCCAGCCCTTCTGCTTTGAAAAAGCTATCCAACGGGCTTATGCAAACGACCTCGTTTGTGTCTGTCTGTGTCTGTTCCACTAGAGGAAGACGTGCTAGAGACTTGAAATTTTGAGGGTGTCTTGAGGTTCACTCCTAGAGAACGAAACGCCTACGGCAAATCCTGCCAACCAACCCTAAGGGTGTGGATAGGGGCATCCAAGGTTCAGAAATCCCCTCAAAAATTTATAATTTTTTATGTTCTTCTAAGGGGTAACTCGTCAAAGTAGAGCCCTTTGGGCAAGAAGTTCGTCCGTTTGGCTCTATCTAACCGTTTGGGCGCCGGAGGGTCTTTTTTGACGAAAATAACTAAAAATTGCTGCGGTGAACAGTAAGTTGTAGAAGAAGGCCTAAAATCGCAAAATACGAAAGAAACTGTACCCCTCACCAAAAAAACGTTTTCTAAGTAGAAGGGTGGGTTGTAGTCACGGTGCTTCACCGTTACATCATCGCTTTCTTATGTCAACAGAGCAAGTCTTAAAGACGACGGGTTTTAGCGAGCTGAAGGCCCGCTACATCTTCGAGTATGTTCTTCAGCAAACCGCGAGGCTGAAATGGTCGGGCCGCAGGCCCGACCATCGCCGCCGGCAGGCCAAGTAGGCCCGGCCCCTGCCGAACGGAGTTGCCGGCGGAGCGAAGCGGAGCTGGGAACTCCGTTTGGCGGAAGGGCAGGCCTGCTTGTTTCATTTAGCATTCCCTTAAATAGACCACGCCATATAAGGTAATAATAAGAAGAAAAGAATAACAAACCGTAAAAGAACTGTATTCTTATTGCCCTCCACCCTCCGTCCGTCTTCGCCCCTCGCCTTACTGTGTCCTGTTTCAGCTATTCGTTTCTTCTTCTTGCCACTGATACTGAAATGGTCTATTGGACGCCTTTCATGGTACAAAACGACCCAGATATGTTCAGATCGCTAGCTTAATTTGTGCTAGAGTTATCGTGTGCTATGAACAGCATGTAACATTTCGGTCAGTGAAGTGGAGTGTTCCCCTCTCATCAACCTCCACGACCCTAGGTTGCCAGGTTGCATGTTAAACATTTTACAATAGTGTATTTCGACTAACGGAGGAAGAAGAACAGCGGGTAGAACATAAACGTTACCGATTGGCCGAGCGCTTCCCGCCTCTACGTCACGCCGGTAGTGGGGGTAGGCGTTCGGCCAATCAGGGTCCTTTATGTTCTACCCGCTATTCTTCTTCCTCCGTTAGTCGAAATACACTATAGGGTATTCCGCTGCAAGCCAACCGGAACCTAATGAAGAAAAGTATGACTGCTCGATCTGTTTCCCTCTGCGCGCTCATGGCTGACCGCCACAGCCACGCCATCTTTGCCCAATCAGCGTTCAGGAGGAAACAGAATGGGCGCTTTTCTTCTTTAGGTTCCGATTGTTGTAGCGGAATACCCTATATAAGGGAGAGGGCTAGATCATAGGCCCTCTTTTTAGCCCGCTCTTTTGCTTAAAAGCTATATAAGCGGGCTTATGCCATCGCCTCTGTGTCTGTCTGTCTGTCTGTCTGTCTGTCTGTCCGTTTCCCAAGAAGGACGTGAGCTAGAGGTTTGAAATTTTCAGGGTATTATTGTTGTAACTTCTGGTCAACGAAACGGTTGGTGCAAATCCTGGCAACCACCCCTGAGTGGGTCTGAG